GGTCAATGAATTTGTGACCTTGACTGTGAACTATATGCTAAAAATAATTTTTCGAATTTTGTTCGCATTGTGTTGTTCAAACACATCTAGTTCTTGTCAGTCTCTTTGTCTGTTTTTCTGTCTGTCTGTTGTCAACTTTAACCGAGCCAATAACTATTGATTGGATGGGACTCTCGCTTTTACATTTCACAAGTGTATTTCCTGTGAAAAGACCTTTCTCTGAGTACCTTCAAATTTCACCTCTTGACCTTGGATTTTGACTCACTTTTACAAAAAATACTACACTTTATTCTTGACCATAACTTTTGAACAGTTGGAGCTAAGGCGTTCATACAAGTTGTTTCAAGATCTTTCAGCTTGATTAAAACATTTTTAACCTTTTGAACTTGACCCACTTTTTAAAATCTTCAACCTTGGTAAAAACTTTTGAACAGTTTGAACAAAGGCTTTCATATTTCACAGGTGTATTCCTTGTAAAAGACCTTCCTTTGAGTAACAACAATTTTGACCTTGACCTTTGGTGTTTGACATTCATTTGAGAGAATTCAACTGTAAACTGCCATACGGGGACATCAGCGTTTCAAAAACACATTTTGTTTTTAATGATATCGATATCATTGAACAATAATTCGATTTAATTCTGAAGCTTCATGACTTGTTTTACAATTACAAAAGGTATCCTTACCCGTTTTTCTCTTAATCAAATCCTTTCTGTTTTTATTTAGTCTCGTGAGAGTCTAACAAAACATCCCTGCATTTTCCTCAATTTTGATTAATTTTGTTGCCGATTACCATGGATTCTGAATAAGTTGAAGAACTTTCTGATTCTGCAAATAAAATTTTAAAATAATTAGGTAGGTGACTTAAAAGTATGCAGAGCATTTTGTGATCCGAATGACCATGAGAATGACAACCTAGCTGAAAATAATAATTAATTAAATTACCTGTAGGAATACGTTTTACATCTGCTTGGATGAAATGTTTCAGGTTAATTATGTACAAAGCTCAATTCAACATATTAGTGGTTCATACCTGTGTAAATGACACACAGATCGGATTAAATGAATGTACATGTACATCCTGGAAGTACATAGGCATGTAACTGAATGTAATAAGTATTTTGATAACTATTTGTATAATATTCTTTAATGTACTTTCTATGATAATAATACACCATATCTTGATCAACAATCCTCCAACTACATGTATCTGAATTTACATCTAACGTGCAGCTTAATCAATATTATGCGTACTGAAACCATTAGCTATAGGTACTTAATTATAACATGATTTCTAAAAGTCTTAATCAGTATAACACACAATCTGTCATTTTTGAGCATCACCATGAATATGTCCGTGTATATATATATAATGTTTGTTAATTGTCCATCTAACGTTTTCCCACCCCGTCCGTGCAGAGATAACATGACGGGGTTACTTACAGTGTAATTAGATAAGTCTACTGTTGAGTGCATTTCTGAATATTCTTTCATATTGTAGTTATTTATGTTCATATTTTTTATTACAGATCGAGGTTTATTTCCAGTGTAGGGTTTCTCATAGCTTTTCCTACTAAAAAACAAATTATACATGTAACATGTTTTTTAAACTTTGAATACTGGTATCTTCCCCTCCATCTTATGCCGCATCTCGTGCTACCTACATCATGTACATGTAGCTCAATTAATCAAAGATAATATTTAAAATATTTATCAAACTTTAAATTGATGATACAGAAGTTCAAGAATACAAAATTTGATTCAGTTGTATCAGATTTAGCCTATCTATTTCCGTTCCGGTCGCTGACTTCAGGTCACAAGCTTGCATTTTTTGTGATTCTCGTGAATCTTTGTGTAGTCTATCAAAATATTATAACGAAATCAAACTAATTAAACTGTAACAGAAGTACCGCTTTGAAATTATTTTTATACAGGAATTTCGATTTTAAGTAAAATGATCTCACTATTTATATTCACAATCCCAAAATATCTTATAAGTAAGAAGTATTTAGGAACATTCAGCATCAGAATTATGCATTTTAACGAGTTTTAACATATTTTTCACAATACTGTTTACAAAAAAATTGCGATTTTTTATCCTGATATACACTTCTGTTTTTTTATGTTTCGCATCTCAAATAATATGGTGACCTACACATTTTTAGCAAAAATTGGAAAATTTAAAGTGTGTTTAGTGAAAATAAAAGCAGTTTTTGTACTTCGAACCATAAAAATTGTGAGAGTGGAAACACCTTTCAAATGCTTTTCCTATGAAAAGATCATCATCTTGGTGCCTTTAATTTGACCCTTGTAACGTTGGAGTTTGACCAACATTGAAAAAAAAACTATAACTTTTGTCATCAATTTTGTACGGTATGGTTAGTTTTTGAACTTACAAATTCCATGGGTATATCTATTGTTACAAGTCCTTTCCTTGAAATTCGGTAACAACATTTTTTACCTCTTCACCTTGAAGGAAAACCATCATTTGAGAAACTTATATCTTCATCAAAAGCTGCCATGCGGGAGCATCAGTGTTTCATGTACATGTCCTATCTCTTTTATCTACAATGTATGAATAACTGATTCTGGGGGGTATGGGATGTCCCTGCTTTGTGGACTGTCTCCATTATTTTCTGGGAAAACCTCTACTTCGATCGATCTATGAAGTCATAGAAATTATAAGTAAAACCCAAACCTAAACAAATACTTTATTGCACACATGAATTGACCATCACTTAAATCACAAGCACTATAAAGAAAAAAAAGCTAATGATATAGTCTTGTTACAGAAAGCATTCAGTGATATAAACCTGATTATAATTTAATATACATGTATAAGATTTTCTAAAATGAAGGCATGCAAATAATTCTTCATTTCTTTTTTTTAAATATATAAACAGGCCCTCAGAAAAAAAGTAACAATAAGTTTAAATTTCTTGGCTTTTGTGTTGTTCATCCATACAGGTGTTTTCACTTTGTAAATTTGCAGTCTAGCGTGGTGTGGTTGCGGCCCTATGTTCCCCCATGAGTGAACAAGAATAAGTGAAGTTAAGTGCAGTCTTAATGAATGAATCAGAATTTAATAACTTCTTTACAATTCAATGTTGGCACAAAGATTAACACTTCTTACAAATGAATGTGCATTCACACCATTCAACAACTTCAGTCTTCCAAACAAATAACATCAATAATGCATGGTTACAATTTTTCAAAGAGAAAAAAATCTTTGAAAAAATATAGTTGATTAAACCTGTTTTGAATGTGTTTATATATTCTAAACTGTGTAGATAAAAAAAATAATTGCACACTACAAAATACCGGGTAGAGGATGCATGGTCCCCTAATCTTGTGTTGTATTGGGTAAGTTATGTTGTCACAAGAAAAATTTGATGTCTAGAACACACATTTATCAAAATACAATTACATTTAAAAAAAAAAACATTATAACATCAAAGAATCTGAGAGTCAGTCTGTACAGTTTATCGAAAGTACATATACCTGATATTTTGTTATGAATTCATGTTATGAATGTATGTATAAAACAAACAGTGAAACCCGAGTTAGTACATGTATATCAAAGTTTTTCTATAGACTTTTTAGAACTTAATTGTATTCAAAATGTTTGCAATTGTATCAAACTCACATACAACAATAAATGTCCAAATATCGTCATGGAAAACTTGTCAAAATATTTAAATGATTCTAATGCAGCTATATGTACAAATATTCATTGGCACATATGTATTTTTATCACAAAGAACCTGAAGCATTGACATCACCACAGTGCTTTTCTTTAATATGGTTGTTCATGAAATGAATCAATATATGCATTCAGCAGTACTCTAATTGTACATGCATGGTATCTTAAAAATAATGTCTTCAACTCAAGAAAACATGTACTAATCTCCCTTTCTGCATGAATACATTACCATTATCTGAAACACAAGGTACAACAAATACAAAAATTTATTTTACTCTATTTTTACTCTATCTTGAGCAATATGTCTTTAGCATTTTAATCTACTTTCACTTTGTTTTTATGAGAATCTCCCACTTTCACTTTGTCATTCAACACAAAACTCTATCTCCTTTCAATTCGTTTTTGGGAGTAGATGACATATAAAAACAGCCACACATCCACTGCCTGATTGTTCATGATCTTGGTAAAGTTTTCGCCTTCATTGGGGATTCTCCCCACTAGGTCAGTCATCCAGCCTGGGTAGGTCAGGTCAAGGTCATATTGAGGAGCTGATAAATATCCAATCATCGTGTCTCTTAGGCTGAGGATAGAAAGACAAAACAGGATAATTATTAATATTTCCAATTAGTATGGAGAATATTGACTTCGTAGCAGTATATTTATTAACATTTTATCAAATTTCAAAAAGAAATCAAAATTGACTGTTCAAGATAGTAAGATATCAATATTTTCAATATATATTTTTAAAAAATGGGCAAGTTTTTCTGTACTTTTAACATTTCATCAATTACCTGAGCTTGGTCATGTCTAAATCATCATCATCCGTTCCTTTAGGGACTGTGATGGTCAACATGATACACTCAAACAGGGTTTCCAGCAGGAGTTCTAGTCTCTCTATGGAGAGTTCCTCACAGAATGAGGTGATGACGTCACGCTGGTCTGGGAGGAGGTCCACCCTCAACTCACCCGACACACCCTCAAAGGCATCCTAGAATAGAGAAAAACAATCCATATTTTAATTCAAAATGGAAATGATCTTGATTGATTTTTCTTTCTGATCAAAATACTTGAATGTGTTTAAACTTCCTTAGTTAGTAAATAACAAATGTATACGGTCTAACTGAAAATTATTTAACTGAGTATTTCTGAATCAGAACTGTTCTCATTTAAATTACCTCCTTATGTGAGGCTTGTCTTTTGGTTTTCTCCATTGCTAAAGTCATCCAGAGTGACTGAGCATGCTTACACACACAGGAGGACCTTGCCTAGAAAACAAATGTTAACAATACATTTTGTACACACCTAGTTAACTTAAACATTATAATAATAATTAGGGGTGTCAAAATATTAAAATAAATTGGGAAATTGAAATAAATTGGAAATGGGAAATTGTAAACACACACTATCCACGCCTCCGATGAAAATGTTAAATACTGTTTGTTCAACTATCACAGCTATGCACATATTGTGTGTTCCTGAGCATTTGAAATTCCTAGAGTTTATAAATTTAATTGATACAAGCCAATTAAATAACTTTCATAGTCCAGTGTAGCGTTGCATAATTTACTATATGTACAATAACAAAAAAAGTCAGTGATTGAGAAATAATAATTGCGGTATGTAATTACTGTATTTTCCATATGTACAATGTTGAAAATTATTAATTTAATTTATATACTGTGACTGTGGGCTCTTATTCGGCTGAGGATGTACACTATACAGTTGCATAGTTTGAGGAAGGACCCTTTTTCAGTTTTGACGCGAGAATTTCATTATCACCCCTTTACTTGCATTTATTTAATATTCGAATGTCGTTTCATTATTCGATCGTCGGTCCATTCGACTGACAGTCGAATAGTTGACTATTTGTTGACATTCCTAATAATAGTACATGCATGTCCTTCTAATAATTTTCACATGACGTTAAGGTCATACATGTAAACAAGAAAGCATGAAATCCTTTGAGTTAAAACTTTACACAATTAAGTCAAAAATCATTGACATACTGTAAAATCACATATTTTCGTGGTGTCAAATTTTTGTGGTTTGAGGAAAAACTCTTGGTTCGTGGGGATTTGATTTCGTGGATGTAGAATTGTTCAGTGGTAATGTTTGTCACATTTTACATTTCGTGATGGACATGAATTTGTGGGTCTCTTCACAACACGAAAATTAACCCCCCACGAAAATTTGTGTTTTCACAGTAATTAATATACATCTGAATGAAAACCAACCTTTTGACTGGGGAATGGATTTTCCATTTTAAGTGTCTGGGTCATGAACTTCTCCAAGGACATGTTAGCATCACCCCCTACTGATTTCAGGAAGCTGATGGTAATGTCAAGTTTATCAAGTGTCTGACAGAGGTCAGGGTAAGCTCTGATCTCTTCACTGATCTGATTGGCTACTGCAGGGGTCAAAGGTTCCTATGAATAAAATCAAAAGTAAGATCTAAAATATTAAAGAAAGGGGAAAAATCAAATTAATTTAAACAATTTCATTCAGCATTAAATTTCTTATCTATAAACAGATATAGCTTGTAATTATAATTTTCAGCTATAAGAAAATTAGGTAAAGAGTGTTTTTAAATTAGAAGGAAATTATTCCTTAAATTTGATGAAAGCTTTTGACAGACCTGCTTGATTTTCTGTCTAAGATGTCTAAACACCACTGCATTAGTTGTCTCTGATCTGTATGTCATCAACTCAAACTGCAAGATGCATAAAGCATAGCTCAAGATTGATAAATGTACAGTAAAACTCGGTTATAACAGAGTCACTGGGACCTATGAAAAAATTATTTTGCTATATCTGTAATTTGTTAAGGGATTTGTTAAATTTATTTAGCTGTGGATCCAAGATAACAATGCTTTATCCATGAATTCATAATATCCATGTTCATACTAAACAAGTTTTACTGTAAATTGATTACATTTTCATTCAATAAACTTTATATTGTATGCATGGAATATCTACATGTAAAAAATCTTTAACTGATTCTCAACAGTAAAGCACTCCCTGCGTACATGACCATGTATATACCTCATAAACAGGCATATCTATGACTGACTTGGAGAACAGGAATCGGTCCATCAGCTGGCGCTCCAGGTCCCCAAAGTTGTAATCTATCTTGGTTCCCTTGCCAACCTGGAAGGTGTAGTGACAGTTGGCCAGGACCATGGGGAGGATGTCCCGGTCAGGGTGGTAGCTGATTAGGTGGGGGGACGTTATGTCATTCACCGTGACCTTGGGAAGCTGTGTGTACCTACGAAAGTATGTTTTATTAATTATGATTATTAAAGCCATCATTTGCAATGTAAATGGACCAATTATCAAAGAGAGTGAAATCAACTGAGCATTCAAATCAATGAATACATCATTTATAGTTTATTTACAAAAAACATGGCAAAGCTATAGACTTACTGCATTTTCTTCTTCTTGCAGTATTCCTGGAGGAAGTTATTTTGTTTTTTAAGTAGAAAGTAGAGGAGGCCATAGGAGCAGAGTCCAGCGTCCCTGAAGGTGGGTAACAGAACTGATACAGGGTGGCTCTCAGTAATCATCTTCTGACAGTACTCCTTTGGGACCTTACCTAGTCCTTCCAGTGTGGGGAAAGCTGCAAGATTCATTATAATGTTAAAATTTTCAACTTTTTACGATAACTATCAGAATTACTGGACCTTTTAATTCTGAACTTTTATTTTCAAAGACAGATCTAGACATAAAAATTAACAAAAAGATTTTGCTACAAAGAACTCGAGAAGTCTGAATTTAATATTCACAATATCGAAAATTTATCAATTGCAACAGTGACTCAAGACCCAGCTTCAAATTATAGCCCTGAATTAAAGATAGTTCTAAAATAAATACGGCTCCATGAAACTTACTGAATGTTAGAAGTTGTTCACGTACACACTGCCAAGCCTCAATGAAGTCCCTGACCAAATTCTTAATCTCTTTTCCTCTGCCCTCTGAAGTTGGTATATGGTAAATTAACAACAAAGAACAACTAAACTCAATTTTATCTCTATAATTATATATGTATCATGAGATTTAAATAATATATCAAAATCTTTTTTTTGCATCATTAACTTGCAGTTCACCTTCAAACTTCCCATTATTCACATAGTATGCATTAATATACAGTTATGGAATAGGTATGAGGTAAATAAGCAAATTTTTGGTTCCCCGAGGGAGGAAACTATTTCTATGGTGGCGAATCTGTCGCGGAAAATAGTTTCCTTCTCAAGGGAAACCATTAATTTGTTAGCAAGAGAGAGTGGAAAGGAGGGAAAGAGGCAAGAGAGAGTGGCCAGGGGGAGAGAAGATAAAATTCATAAATAAAAACAATTTTAGAATATTTTGCCTAAGTTGAATATTTTTTCTTTTTTGAAGTTGCATCAAGTAAACAAGGCCAATGACTAAACTAGGGCTAATAGTAACGGGAACCGTTACAGATGTTCCCCAAACGCTCCCCACCTCCCTTTTGGTGACTTATTCCCTGTAAGCTTCATTAAATAAGACAAACGCGATACATTTAAGACTTTAACAAAGTTTTACCAGAAGTATTCAATTTCATCATTGCACGCATGCGCATTTGAATGCCTGTGCATAATGACCATATCATCTTGTCTACACTATTGATATATTTTAATATGCTAAATATTACAGCATTTAATCCAAAAATATGTTTTAACTAGTGTATTTGGAATTTTACTCATTTCACGTGCACGCACGTGCATGATGACCATTCCCTGTTGTGGGAGTCTGTAATATCTATCTATATTCTGAATCCCATCCTGTTAGGTTGAAAACCAAGGGAGTTATAGCCATTTAAAGTTTCAGCCAATCAGATTGCAGCGCACGTGCATGCGCGTGATTTGATGAAAATTATTATATATCATATTGTAGGATATCCTAAAGCATGCCTATGTTTTAAATTTCAAAGCATTTCGTCAAAAAACAGAGAAGATATTGAGATTTTTGTTTCAGCCAATCAGAGCAAAGCGCACGCACATCCGCGTGAGTTCGTGGTAATTTTACAGTGTCACATTATCTACACTATTAATATATCGTTATATAATGAGTTTCAAATCATTTCATTAAAAAATGTAAAAGTTATAGCTATATTAAGTATATCAGTCATTTCACTCATATCACGCGCACGCACGTGCAGTCGTATGCGCGCAAAATGACCTTCGTTCCGCACACCTACACTACACACCTATTAACCCTAAAAAGGTTTTAACTTAGTTGGGTGAACAGTTTCTGAGAACACTTCCGGACAAAAAAGTACCGGAGAACAAATAAGAAAAAAAAGAATAATAATAATAATAACTAGTGCTAATTGTAACGGGGACCGTTACAGATGTTCCCCAAACGCTCCCCAACTCCCTTTTGGTGCCATATTCCCTGTAAGCTTCATTAAATAGGACAAACGCTATGCATTTGAGACTTTAACAACGTTTACCCAGAAGTGAACCAAGTTCATTCAAATTTAAGCATTGTGCGCATGTGAATGTATGTGCGTATTGACCAAATCATCTTGTCTACACAATCTTTATATATTAATGTACTAAATATTAAAGTATTTAATCCAAAAGTATTGAATAATACGATCATTCAAGTGTACTTTTTATTTTACTCTTTTCACGTGCATGCACATGCATACATGAGCATGGTGACCATACCTTCTTGTAAAAGTTCATTACATCTATCTATGTTCTAAATCCCACCCCGTTTGGTTGCAAATCAAGGGAATTATAGCTGTTTAAAGTTTAAGCCAATCAGACTGCAGCGCACATACACGCACGTGTATGCATGTGCATGATGACTATACCTTCTCTTAGAAGTCCGTTATATCTATCTATGTTCCAAATCCCATCCTCTTTGGTTGAAAACCAAGGGAGTTATAGCCATTTATAGTTTCAGCCAATCATATTGCAGCGCACGTGGATGCACGTTTTTTCATGAGAATTGCTATATATCATGTTGTAGGATATCCTAATGCAGGGCTATGTTCAAAGTTTCAAAGGATTTTGTCAAAAAACAAGAAAGATATTGAGACTTTAGTTTCAGCCAATCAGAGCAAAGCGCACGTGCATGCGTGTTAGATCTTCCTATTTTGACCATGTCATATTGTCCATGCTACTAATATATCCTTATATTATGAGTTTCAAAGCATTTCATCAAAAACTAGAAAAGTTGCAGCTATATCTATTATATTTGTCATTTCACGTGTTGCACGTGCATGCTCTTGCAAGCACGTGCGCGCAAAATGACCTTGATTCCGCAAATCTACATAACATGTCTACTGACCCTATAAAGGTTTTACCTACATCGGACGAACAGTTTACAAGATCACTCCCGGACAAAAAAGTACCCAGGAAGAAGAAGAAGAAGAAGAAAAATAATAATAACTAGTGCTAATTGTAACGGGAACCGTTACAGATGTTCCCCAAACGCTCCCCAACTCACTTCTCGTGCCATATTCCCTGTAAGTTTCATTAAAGAAGGCAAAATCTATGCATTTAAGACGGCAACAACGTTTTCCCAAAAGTATACCAAGTATTTCAAATTTAAGCAATGCAGGCGTGCGCATGTGATTGCATGAGCGTAATGTCGATATCATCTTGTATACACTATTTTACTCATATGCACGTGCATGATGACCATACCTTCTTGTAGGAGTCCATTATGTCTGTCTATGTTCTTAATCCCATCCTGTTTGGTTGAAAAACAAGGGAGTTATAGCCATTTAAAGTTTAAGCCAATCAGATTGCAGCGCACGTGCATGCGCATGTTTCCATGACAATTATTTTATCATATTGTAGGACATCTTAAAGTATGCCTATGTTTTAAATTTCAAAGCATTTTGTAAAAAAACAGAAAAGATATTGAGATTTTTGTTTCAGCCAATCAGAGCAAAGCGCACGTGCACGCACGTGCATGCATGTAAATGGTGACCATACCATCTTGTAGGAGTCCTTTATGTCTATCTATGTTCTAAATCCCATGCTGTTTGGTTGAAAACCAAGGGAGTTATAGTCATTTAAAGTTTCAACCAATCAGATTGCAGCGCACGTGCATGCGCGTGATTTCATGAAAAATTTTATATATCATATTGTAGTACATCCTAATACATGTCTATGATATAAGTTTCAAAGCATTTCATCATAAAACAAAAAAGATATTAAGATTTCTGTTTCAGCCAATCAGAGCAAAGTGCACGTGCATGCGCGTGAGTTCATGCAAATTTGACCATGTCATCTTATGTACACAACTTATATATCTTTATATAATGACTATCAAAACATTTTATCAAAAAATATAAAAGTTACAACCATATTAAATATATCAGTCAGTTTACTCATTGCACGCGCCCGCACGTGCATGCGAATGCGCGCAAAATGACCTTCGTTCGGCACATCTACACAACATGCCTACTAACCCTAAAAAGGTTTTAACTTAGTTTGGTGAACAGTTTCTGAGAACACTTCCGGACAAAAAAGTACCGGAGAAGAAATAAGAAGAAAAAAGAATAATAATAATAACTAGTGCTAATTGTAACGGGAACCGTTACAGATGTTCCCCAAACGCTCCCCAACTCCCTTTTAGTTCCATATTCCCTGTAATATACTATATGTGAAAGCATTCAGTCCAAAAGTATTAAAAATCACTCGTTCAAGTGTATTTCTAATGTCATTCGTTCCAAATGCACGCACGTGCATGCACGTGCATGATGACCATACCTTCTTGTAGGAGTCCCTTATATTTATTTATGTTCTGAATCCCATCCTGTTTGGTTGAAAAACAAGGGAGTTATAGCCATTTCAAGTTTCAGCCAATCAGATTGCAGCACACGTGCATGCGCGTGATTTCATGATTATTTTTCTATATCGCATTGTAGGATATCCTAATGAATGATTATGTTTTAAATTTCAAAGCATTTCATCAAAAAACAAAGGAGATATAGTCATTTAAAGTTTCAGCCAATCAGATCGCAGCACACGTGCATGCGCGTAATTTCTTGATTTTTTTTTGTATAGCATATTGCAGGGCATCTTAATGTGTAACTTTGTTTCAAATTTCAAAGCATTTCGACGAAAAACAAAGGCGATATAGTCATTTAAAGTGTCAGCCAATCAGATTGCAGCACACGTGCATGCGCGTGATTTCATGAAATTTTTTCTATATCATATTGTAGGATATCCTAATCCATGACTATGTTTTAAATTTCAAACCATTTCGTCAAAAAACAGACAAGATACTGAGATTTTTGTTTTAGCCAATCAGAGCGAAGCACACGTGCATGCGCGTGAGTTCATGCTAATTTGACAGTGTCACATTATGTACACTATTAATATATCCTTATATAATGAGTTTCAAAGCATTTCATCGAAAAATGTTAAAGTTATGGCTATATTAAATATATTAGTCATTTCACTCATATCACGCGCACGCACGTGCAGGCGTATGCGCGCAAAATGACCTTCGTTCCGCACACCTACACTACACACCCATTAACCCTAAAAAGGTTTTAGGTCAGTTGGGTGAACAGTTTCTGAGAACACTCGCGGACAAAAAAGTACCGGAGAACAAATAAGAAAAAAAATAATAATAATAATAACTAGAAACGATCTCGTTGCTAGCAACGAGAGGTCTTCCGTCCGATTCAGGAAAAAAAAACTCGTATAATCGAGCTGAAAAGTGATTCAAAATTTTGGTCGCAAAGAGGATTGAACCCATGTCGCCTTTTTCTGTTTTATCCCCAACGCGCAAACCATAAAGCTTTAGGGAGTACTGCTCTAAATATACTTGTGTGTATACTTTTGCAACAGTACACCTGTCTAAGAATCATAAAAGGCGGGTCACTATTAATAATTTGCGCCAAACGCCACGAGTAAATATTCGCGCATTTTCATACATTTTATTTGCTAAAAACTCGACTCTGCAGAACCAGAGAAGGTTTTCTACAGGTCCATTCCCCATCACGGGGATGACCTTACCTGCACATTGGCACCATGT